TAGATAGATAGATAGATAGTATAATTATATATTATGTTTGACTCTTTTAGGATGGGAATAGTGTTACCTTTGCCAATCCAATCAAAAAGAAGAGGCGATTTGGCAGATCGATCATGAGGAGCTTCAAACGAAAGGTCCACCCTTATACTACACATTTTTATTCGGCCCTTTGACTTGTTGTACACTTTCCCTGCCACCAGACTTTGACTGGTTTAGACAGGTTGTGTAGAGGAAAACCTGAAAACATGTAGGTGACTGCTCTTTTTTTTCAGAGGAAAAAGAGAATCAGAGTGAAAAATAAGGCGATGTCTGATGGCGAGTCAGACCACAGCAGCAGCAGGGAGAGGACACAAATTGTTTACCATCCCAAGTAAGGCTAGTCGTTGAATTAGCAAAGTAGTTTGAGTCATTAAATATATATGGTTACACTTGTACTGTATGTCTATAACTCTCCTTTCAGGAAGAGGAAAACAATGAGGTTGTCCCGAGCTCTGTCTGACCAGGTCAAGTACACAAAATCTGTCCGTGTGCATGACATAGAAACACAAGGTAAAGGGTCTTTAAACATGAAACCTGAAATCTTTGCTTTTTTTAATCACACACAACAACTTACCGTTTGAATGGATGTTTGATGCTGTCTGTCTTTTCTGTCTGACAGCATTAGTGAACAGTTGGCAGGTATCATCCCTCAACGAGACTGTTATGAACCAGATCTTACAGTTAAAACCGGGAGAGTTGGTCCGTTTCACCCAACGGCAACTTCTAAGAGTCTACCCGTCCAACTACAGAGTTGACTCAAGCAACTTCAACCCACAGCCATACTGGAATGCAGGATGCCATATGGGTAAGACTGTCACAGAGAGGGCAACACTGCCAACCAGTCAAGGTTTCTTGCTCTTAAAAGTTTGTTTTTCCTTTGCCACTGTCGCTTGCTCATGGTGGGAATTGTTGGGTCTCTGTAAATACTTTTATAAAAATTACAATCTAGACCTGCTATAAATTAAGTCTCCTGAGATTACTTCTGATATAATCTGCTGTTATACAAATACAAAATTGTACTGAAATACTGTCTACTTTTAGAAATGTACAATGTTTAATACTGTTTTTCATTTATGTATATATGTTGGCTTTCCTTTTAGTTGCAATGAATTATCAAACAGAGGGCCGTATGCTTGAACTGAACCAAGCCAAGTTCTCAACCAACGGAAACTGTGGATATATTCTGAAGCCTAAGTGCATGTGTAAAGGTATGCGTATATGCAGATTGTGCAGAGTTAATGGCAACTATCCTTTCTTAAGGATTAACCAGTTTACTTGGTTCTTCTCAGCTGCCTTTAACCCCATGTTGGAGGATCCTCTACCAGGACACAGAAAGACTCAGTTAGTGCTGAAGATCATCAGTGGACAACAGCTTCCCAAACCCAAAGACTCCATGTTTGGGGACAGAGGAGAGGTAAGCCAACATACTCCAGACATGATCTATTATTGACACGTGAAATATCTTTTTCATCAATAAAATGCTATTTTTGCTCATGCTTTTGTACTTCCAGATTATTGATCCCTTTGTTGAGGTTGAGATTATTGGCCTACCTGTTGATTGTTCCAAGCAGCAGACGAGGGTGGTGGATGATAACGGTATGTGCACGAAATACATCTTGTAATACAAATCTCATAAGTGACAGTTGACTGTCTGTAACATTCCTTCTACTGTCATTTAGGGTTCAACCCAATGTGGGAGGAGACCCTCGTCTTCAACATTCAAATGCCACAGATCGCCCTAGTGCGTTTCCAAGTGTGGGATCATGATCCTATTGGACGAGATTTCATTGGACAGAGGACTGTTGCTTTCCCCAGTATGATGCCAGGTAGATTACATGATATGCAAAGCTAAATTACAGAAGAAATACATCAAATAAATTGATTCCACTCTAGGGCTAAAGCTAGCAGCCAGATAGCTTATCTTAGCATAAACACTGGACACAGTGGGGAACAGCTAGCCTGGCTCTTTCCAAAAGTAACAAAATCTGCCTAGCAGCACCTCTAAACCTGGCCAAGAAATAGTCTCACACCTAACCCTTCATAAAAACCACAACTTATTGTTCCTACGCTTCAGTTTTTGTACATATAAAATAAGCACATTTCTCAAAATGTTGAAGTGTTCTTTTAGGATGAAAGATGTAGGTTAAGATGATTTTTTAATGCAAATTTGTAGGGTATCGACATGTGTACCTGGAGGGGATGGCGGAGTCGTCGATCTTTGTTCATGTTGCTATCAATGATGTGACAGGAAAGGTAAGCTACTCTGAATAAACTCACAAATCAAATTTCAGCTAGAACTTTATCTTAAAACCTTTGGTGTCCTTTGTAAAACAGAACAAACCCACAAATGCTGTGCAAGCAGCCAGAAAACACATCCAAAAAGCAGCCCAGAAGCATATGAAGGGTCATCAAAGGCAGCCGTCTTTGGACTTTTCTGTCCTGTCCTCAGAAGACGGGCGTGCTCTGCACTTCCGCAAAGATCTGGATGCCATCTCTCAGGACAGCAGGAATTGGGAAATGTCTCCTTTAGCACAAGGGCCAGCAGCCAAGGCTGCCATCCACAAAGGGGCCATGAGTGAGCCAGTGAAGCGAGCTCACAGAGTTAAAATTCATGAACCACCAGAGACAAGAAGAGGGATCTTCAGCCGGATGTCCTCCACTGACTCCCACCACATGGGGGCTGCTCCCTGTGCGAAAGCAGATAGCTTTGACCTTGAGACCTCTCCCCAGGCTTCTTGTCCTAATGGTCCTGCTCCTGACAGCCAAAATCCAATTCAAGAAGAGCTTGAGAATGAACCTGATGAATCACCAGAGTCAAACTGTTCTGAGCAGGAAACAGTTCAGACATTTGAACCAAAGCAGCCTGAACAATCTGAAGAATTACCAAAAGAACCACAGCCAGACAACAATGTTGCCATTGAACCTGAGCAACCACCAGAAACTCAGAGTCAGACAGATTCACTCCCTCAGCCTCAGCCCGTGCCACAACCTCTGCTCCAGCCTGAAGCCAAATCTTATCCACTTATCCCCCCATCATCCCCTGCCAGGGTGAGACGGACCTTAGAGGCCCCAGCTACCCCACGACCGTCTACACCAATACGAACAAAGGTCCGCTCACGCAGTTGCCCTCGAAAACAGACTACCTCTACTCAGACACCGATGGTGAACCGTAAGCCTGCTTTGCACTGGCAGATACAGCGAGCACAAAACTGTGGCAGCTACGGCAGCCAGGTGAGGCCCATTCCCAATGGCCTCTGCCTGTCTGACAGCACATCCAACAGCAGTGACGGCAGCACTGACAGCCTGGAGTTTGTGGCCTCCTGTGTGCCTGCCGGGGCAGAGCAACGCGAGGGCACCCTGCAGAGGGAGATGAAGGCTCTTTTTGACCAGAGGATGAGAGAGATCCGCTGTAAATCGCCACTTTTTCTAGATGGTGAGTCATAGATGATATGATGATGAAAAGAACTGATGGTACGAAGGTTAAGTGGCTGTATTAAATCATGGCTTGTGTTTGTACTGTGTTTTCTTTTAGATTAGACCACAGTTTAGATTTGTGCCTCCAAAGACAACAACGTCAGTCAGAAGATGAAGAAAAAAGGAGATGTGAGAGGATGATGAGGGGGGCTGAGTCACAAAGCAGTTCTGATTTTATTTTCTAGATAAATGGGAAAACACAACGTAGAATTTCACAATTAGACAGTTTTTATTATTTTAGGCCTGCTGTGATGTTTACAATCAACAGTTTTTATGCATGAAATAGTTTTTAAAAAGAAATTGTTCAAATCCTGATGTGATGCCATTGCCAACTGTACAAAACAGCAAGATGCAGTCATAAAAAAACAGTAAACTTAGAAGTACACAATTTGTTAGTCAAATGTTCAGTTCTTAAGTGTAAACATTGATCATTTTAATAATTATTTTTATAATATTTAAACTATAATGTTTGCTTTTTCATTGACACTGTAGTGTTCGTACCTAAAAAACAATAAATTGATTATTTTAATAAAATGTGAGTCTTTTTATTTCAAACTTTAATGGCTTTTTTTTAATCTAATGCATCTTTACAAGTAAGAAAAACCTACAAATAAGTTATTTTTTCTGTTAAATATTATGACAAATTTTGAAACAGCTAAAACAAGCTAAAAGTTACGTTTTCAGACTTGATGTTTCTATGCTTTTTCTTTATCTTTGTCTACATTTTCTTGGGGTCTGTTTGCATTGCTGGTCCTCAAGCGCAGACTCAGTTCTTCAATCAGCACAGTGCAGCAGGATTTCTGTGGGAGTGAAACAAATCAATGCATTAATATGTTGATGAATTTAATGTAAACATGGTTAAGTGGGTAAGTGAGCACAACCGTCTGAGTCTGGCTGTGTCCTCTGCATTTTGATGTTCTACAGCTGATGCTGTAGAAGCAATAGAACTTTTTCACAGCAGCCATTTTGAAAATTAAATAGTAGGGTAAACACAGGTTTTACCAATCCCAACACATGATACAGTTCTGCTCCATTTAGAGTAGCAGATTCTTTCCAGTGAGCCAACATGCACAATTTGACCTGAGTGGAACAGAGCCTTAATTAGTGTCATTGGTAATACCTGTGTTTACCCTACTATTTCATGTCTGCTGAGAAAAGGGTCCATTGGTAAAAAAAAGACAGGATTGCTTTTAACTGTAACAGACTGTGTTTTCTTTAAATTGTTGCAGCCTTCAGGCGTTTGAAACAGTCTCATTGCAGAGGAAAAAACAAGGTGATTTGGTTTAGAGTCTGAAAAGATAATACTTTGGAGACCCGTCACAAGTTATATGATTTGTGAATGCACTTGTTCATACCCTCTGCTCAGCTGCACTTCTGCGGCTCTTGGAGGTGAGCTCTAGGACAGCCAACAGTGCTCCCAGCCCCAGGCCAAGGGAAAGAACCAGAAAGATCCCCTTGAGGCTGTGCGTCTGCACAGCTGAAGACTTGGCCTTGTCTGCTATGCAGCTGCTGGCCCACCACTTGCTTCGCAGGTAAGCCAGCTCCCCTGCCTCGCTCAGTTGTAGGATTGCCACACTGAGGTTCTTTATGATGGGTGAGCCTTGAGGAAAAAATTATAATGTTAATAATACCCTTTCATTTTTTGTGAAATGTCATTGCTTAGTGAGTTTTCAAAATGAAAAGCCTCACCAAGGGCGGCAGCAATGCTGTATCCCCTCATGCCAACGACTTCGTGTGCTCTGACCAGTTCACAATGCCGTGCTACTGCCAAGTCCAGAGACACAGACTCTCCAATAAAGGCAAAGTTTCCCTCTTTTGCACGTCGCACCCCTTCATCCATAGATGACACAAAACTCTTAGTTCTCTCCATGTGTTCATAGATTCTGCGGTACACTGGATTGTTTGAATTCTGGATGAAGGAAAAACAGAATTAGAGAAACAGCAGTGATATGTGGGGGATCCATAAGTGATCCAATGTCTCTACCTTAAAGAAGGCAAGGGTGGACGAGCCAGCCAAACACCCATACTCAATCATGTCCTGACTGGCCAAGTCATCAAACCCTTTCACCGTCAGGTGAGAGGAGTCAGTGGTCTTAGAGGAGTTGAGGTTGGAGAAATAACAAGCAAGGAGGAAAACAGAAAATAACCACCAACTGCAGCAGATTACACGTCCTGAAAGAGCTTTAGGGTGAGGACCAGCACCTGACAACAAGAATTACCAGAAAAGAAACAAATCAGTAAATTCATTAAGGGTAGAGATTGTCTTCTCTCTTTGGTGGCATACAAAGTGTCTGGTTTTGCTGTTTACCTTGTAGAGTCAGAGCTCCAGCTGTGTACCACAGGCTGTGGAGGAGGTTGAATCTGTTCTGTTCACTCTGAGGCTGACTCCATTCACATGGGCTGAGTCTGCATTTGCATAAAAATGTTACTTATTAAAGCGACTGCACTCAAAGGATTTATACTGCCAGCAGAAATGTGAAAGTATACACAGACAGTGAAGTATAAATTCATATTTAAAACCACAGCACATCAATAAACATAAACATTCACAAAAAAATGAAACTACTTGCATCACCAACCTGGCAACTATAAAGATGCAAACAGCTGTCCCTAAGTATGCAATGAGTATGCCGACCCAAGTCTCGGCTGTAAAGGGGGACAGGAAATCAAAGAAGCCTGTTTCCTCAGAGATGTCCTTCCTCAGCAGGATGCTGACTCCTGTCTGCATAAAAGGTTTGGTCATCCCCACCACTTTCTCCCGAGCTGCAGTGAGCGTCAGCGGAGCAATCGCAAGGTCTGCCTCCTGTAGGGGATGATTAAATACTTACTTTAAGAGAATTTTTAATTATACCAACAACCCTGCTGATATTGTTCACACCATATGTTCACTTATTTTGAATGTATCAGATGTGAGTCATAGATGCCAGCTGGGTAATTCAAGCTTCCGCACAGTGGTTTGCTGCCCTTGGACCCCTCCAAATGTCAGTTTTCATGTACTCACGCCTCTCAGCACCTCTCCAATCATCCCATTCCAGTTCCCGCTCTCATCCTGTCTGCCGTATGAGCCATCTTTCACCAGCTGTACTTTGTACTTGAAGCCCAGTTTCTTGGCTACTTCAGACAGCAGGTCCATGCAAAAGCCCTCCAGTTGTGTGCCTTTGGACATCGTATATGGCTCTTGCTAAAGGAAAATATTTCAAATCATAATCAGTGAAATGTGTTTTACCTTAAATTGTGTATTTACCATCATTATAGGCTCAAAAGAGACAAATTAACTACCTTTATTGTTGTGATTCTCAGCTCTGATTGCACTGATTTTCAGGGGGTAAAGTAAGAAACACGTTAGTATGACAACTTTCAGAGTTAGATACAAGAATTGTTTATCAAAAACTGGGAAGTCAGGAAAATATGAGGGGGAATAAATTACTGGGTCCCAACCTGAGGGCCAGGACTTCCCTAAGAGATCTCAAGATAATTCTGAGGGGTCACCAGATGATTAAAGGGATAAGAAAGAAATATCTGTTACAGAAAATATTTTTACCTATTCAGGCCACTAAAATGACTTTAAATAAGACAAAATCACTCTTTGGTTGAACTCCTCACAGCTAATGTCATGACCTGAGATTAGTGGTCATAATTAGTTCACTTTAAATTGTCACATGCCAGAAAGGTTGGGAATCACTGAAAGAAATAATGGTATAATAAATTATTAAATAAACAGAGCATCTGTGGCACACCCTACAGGTGGCCAAGGCTGTCTGTTTTCGATATACAAGGGCCATTTGTCTTGAAAAACGGAACAATTTGACTGGTTAGAGGGCACAAGTGGCCAATTGGCCATCTTTAGACTTTAATCTGACATGCCGAGATGTCTGAGGTGAATTTCGGGGTGCATGTATTGACCTTTTATTCAGAACTGATTTCCGGTATCCTAGTGATCTGAAACGATTTAAACACCACAATCTATTTAGCGCAGTGTTTTAATTCAAAAAGTCTCAATGCCATGGCACTGTGAGATGGGAGGGCAGTCAAAGAGTATCAAAAGCCTTGATTCAGGCCAAGGCCTTGGGGATCCATCACCACAGGGTGATCCTGACAACCATTAGATCCTCCCTTTCAAAAGATGACACGTATACAAGCTCTTCAAGCCCCTGTCACTTTTTGGCCACTCTGAAACACAGGGCTTTTGTCTGCTCCATACAGTTGATTTATTACCGTTTTCTGTGAGAGTGTCAACTGGCTTGCTTCCCTTTCTGTTTTTCTACAAGAGTTGGACAGGATGTGGTGCTACACTTTGATATTGATCCGAGCCGACTGTTTATGTATTTATGTCTTGTCAAGCCCGAGAAATTTCTACCAAATCCAGCAGTGAAAACATGAGGAATTTGGCAGAGACATAAAAGCGAACTGCCACCACACTGAATTACAAAAGCAGTGACCGGGTCAGACTTTAACGAGTAAACAGGCAAAACAACATTTTCTAATGTTTCAATCAGACCAACTTCTACATCATCTGATTATATCTGTTTTGTTATATTAGCATAATTTATTTATTTTGAATTAAAAGTACAAACCTGTGACAAGAAAATAGTTCCTTACCTGCAGTGCACGCGCCCATGTCCAGGAAAAACCCAACAGACAATACAAAGAAGCCAAACAGCATTGTGATTCTTCTGATTTGCATCCTATAAGTTATTTTAAAAAAAAGACAGTTAGCAGTTGGTTGTGCATCAGGGAAATCACATGGATAAACTTAACTAAATAAATATATATAATAATAAATACCTTTCTTGATATAAATGCAAAAATGTGAATCAGCACATTAAACAGTGAAGCTGTCAGACAGGAAAGTACATATGATGGATGTTCTTATTACCTGACAAGAGTCCAAGATGTGACTGTTGGATTGGTGCGTCAGAGTGGACAGACCCCAACAAGCTCAACTGTGTGATCTGTTAAGTTTTTCAGACTCAAATGTCTCAAGACAGCCAACAGAGTTTTTTGTGGGTGGAGAAAGTGGAAGAATTTTGAAGGGGTGGGGAGTAAAAACATCCAGCTTCCACTGTGGAACAAAGTGTGGTTATTTATACTATACTACTTATTTATACTATACTACTATATAAATAACTCTTAATAATATCTTAATAATATACACAAATAAAAAAAAAAACATCTGAGTCACATCATAGTGTTGTAGAACAGTTTACATGAATTATATTCAAGCCATGTATGACAGGTTTTATGATATTTACATTACATGTGAACAAAGTTTAATGTTTGAAGCTACACTGTATTTTACACTTATAGAAAACTAAAACCTTTATTTTGAAAAGATCACTGTGTTGAAGCTACAGAGATGTACACATATCAGTGTTATGTGTGTATTAGATTCCACTGGAGATATTTGTGCTCAGTATAAGAAAGAAGCATTACAGTACTCTCCGCTCTTTACTAACATTTTAAAAAGAAAATATGTGTCATAGAAATGACTGAAGGCCCTTTAGAATAATGAAAATGTTACAACACAGAGAGATCTTTCTGAGTCTGTAGCTCAAAAATGACCTTGGTAGTATGTTGAAGGCTCATTAAATTGTTGTATAACTAAGAATATTCTCTTTGTGGCCGGGGCACAGACAAAAACTCCCAATCTGTTCAAAGCTAGCAGGGAGCCAGGAGTTGTTTCTCCTGTGTAGCTCCAAAATCAATATTTGATGCAGTCCTTTTTGTCAGATTCACACTCTGGATGAGTCCTTTCAACATAACAATGTAGGTTTTAATGAATGATTTCATTTTCCAATGCAAAAAAAAATAAATAGCAAGCGTACTGACAGGAGTGCTAACAAGCACATTCAGTTTAATTAATTCATCATATTTTTTGTATTTTACTATTAACCTCTGAACCAATAGGCTGTATAGTAAAACAAAATCTTCTAGCAGCTATAATTTTAGACCTAGAGCCAATATATAACAATACAATAAGTAAACTATTTTGTCATAGATTATAAACTATGTTATAAATTCAAGTTACACTAGAAGCCTGTGCCCAGTCAACGCCTGAAAAACTTAATATAAATCAATTTGAGAGTCAAGGCAACAGGAATCGTTTCTATAGTGAGACAGCGGACTGAACATGGTCACTGAATTGTGTGTTCAGCAGACATTTTAAAGCTCCTACTGTGAAACTAGTGACCTAAAGAACTGAGTCAGCCAGTGATTAGTTCATCAATCTTTCTCAGTTTGAGCTGTATCAGTCGAGTAATAAGACATAAATGAATTCAACAAAAGCCTGCTGCACTGGTAATTATTGTGTCTCAGCACTGGCATATGATCATCCTGTAATTTGAAGTAAGTGCATCGACTCCTGCCAGCAGATGAACTTAATTTAGTAAAAATCATTGTTGGCTCTGATGTTCAAACCCATGAAATTACTGTTAAATCTACTACGAACAGAACTGAAGAAAATCAGAAAATTAGCCTTATTTAGTCTAATGGTGTCATTTTTGTCAGCTGATGGAATAAAGAATCTGTGTGAATGATTACAGAAATACTGCATTTAATTTATTAATTTATATTTTGTGTACATTTTATCTCCCTATGGTCTAAATGCTGTTTTTTGTAATTATGTAATTATTATTTTGATTAATTATTGTTTCTTTATTACATCTTAAATTAAAAGATGGTAAGACATAGAGCTACATTAGCATGAGACAAACAAAGAAATACAAACCAAGAAAAAGCTAGAGGGAAAAAAATCATTGAAACTAAATCTAAATCTTTGACAAAACAAACTCAAAGTTGTCAGCTTTTTCCAGAACTCTCAGCAGTATCATCAATATCAGCTTGGAGATGGATGTGTTTACATGCAAAGCTAGCACTTTCTCATCTCTGTTCATCTCTGGAAGTTCATTCTTTCATTGAAAGATCCAGAAAAGAACAGTAAGTGGACCTTAAGTTTGGACTGGTTTGCCAGTAATAGTTTGGCAATACAAAACTTGGACAAAATGAAGTCCTACAAATAATGAGGATTAAATCAAGTCAGCTACTGAGCTTGCATGTCAATAAGCATTAAATTTCATCCTTGACATTTGGAAACAGCAGTTTGACAAAACAATATGAACTCAAAGTTGGAGGTTTCCATGAAATATTTAACTTTCATGCCCAACTTTTACGTCAACATGGATGAAAAGTCCTAAACGTGCTGTGGATTAAATCTATGGCGGCACGACACCTAACGAGTTTGTATGTGAACTGAGCAAACTCCATCTGTCGTTGAAGACTGTGTGATACGGTTGAAAGCTCTCAAGAAGGCGACTCTGAGCTCAGATTGTTTTGTTAAACTAATATTTCAAAGGAAAATGCTGAACTTTTACAGAATTTAAAGCTAATTGAACAGCTAACAGAATAAATTAAATATTACTTGTGAATTGAATTGATGTATTTCTAAAATCCATCAGCAGGACTCCAAACCTAAATTGTATTGTAACAAATATTTGTATGAAAATGTGATTATTATTTTCTTTTTATTATGTGGTTATTACACCTGGATATTAGATTAATTTACAAGCTTTAGAACATGTTTCCATAGCAATAGCAGGTGTATAACAGGTAGGCCTACAATATAAGGTCCATAGGAAATGAAGACGAGGCCATAAGGCGCGCAATATATGTCTCGTTGTTTTTCTCATCGCTTCTTTCTGTTATGAGCTCCAGGTTGAGTTCGGTGAACTCGCTTTAACGCGTTGGCCAATCAGAGATCGGTGCGCGTTGCGTGCGAGGCGAAGCGGCGACCTCTGATTGGCTGAGGTGGTTTTTTCCAAAGGGGCGTATTTTTCAAGCCATCTTGACTGAATATTTAGCCTCATCCAAGCAACATTAATTTGATATCTTCGGGATTTTGCTGCCCCTAAGTTGCGAAACAGCATCGTTTGAAAGGTTTAAACCACAGCTATGAAACCGGGTCGAGTTTGTGTGTTTGACCGGAGTCACGGCGGAGAACCGGAGTGCTGAAGATGACGCTGTCGCTCCTGAAATTACCGGCGAGCTAAGCTAACGGCTAGCATGTCCGCCTCGGTTGTAGCCTGTCACTAGCTGACATTTAGCTAGCCGCAGTTGTTCTGTTTGGCTCTCGCACCACAGAGGACGACTTTAAAAGGTAAACCCAGTCTGATATGTTTCAGCTTTTAAACGGCGTTGCTTAGGGAAAAATCTGTTCGGTTTTTTTTTTTTTTTTGTGTTACTCGACTTCTGTGTGTCCTGTCCGACCGAGTAACGTTATCACATCGGCGAAGAGACTATCTTTTTTTTGCAGGGGTCTGGAGTACAAAGCAATAACCCGAAACGTTGCACATTTGCACGTCGTGATCTGATGTATACATGCAGTGGCTTTATGCATTCAGGCACGGTGCATACAGTGCGCCTGCTTTCTGGCTGCTGTTGGCATGTGTAATTGGGCTGCTAATCAACTTGCAGTCCAAATGTTGTCTCTGCTGTTGTGCGCTCAAAATGGCTGACTGATGTTAGATACTCGGGTTGGTATTTAGCGCTCTTCAACCTAACTACGCACAGCAACAAGGAAAAAAAATAGAGGATGCTGGCGTTTTGATTGGCCCGGGAGAAATGTGCAGCGTTACAGACTCCTGATTGGACCAATGGAGGAACAGCTGAGCTGCATGCATGCAAGCAGGACAACTTACTGTAGTTTTGTTTGTGCGGAAAGAGTACTTGAGGTAACATGCTGTGTTTTATTACCACCACACCAGAGTTGGTCCCCCTTTTACACTGTACGTGCAGCGGGCCAGGATTTAAATAAAGTTAACAGAGCTTACCAATAATGCAAAATAAGATGGCACTCTTCATGTTGGCAGGCCGAGAGAAGGATTATGATTAATCAGAGAAATTCATTAGATACACTCAATATAACAGAAGCTGTTATTTAACATCATTTTGTAACCAATTTATTTTTGATTAATTATTAGGTTAAAGGTAACATTTCATAAGTAATTGTTTATAAGGGTTTAAACACTGTTTTTTGGCTTTTTTTTAACTCCTTTTTTGCCTTCTTCACTCTTGTCATCAGGAAAATATAAATATATTTGGAACAGCAAGAAAGTAAAACGAAAGTAATAGTACTGCTTTGGTATGAGGCGAGGGAGGGCTGCCCAAATTAAACCATGAGGATCATCTGGGAGAACTGGATATCTGAACAAGTCAACTATACTTTATAATAACCAGTCGATTATTGGGTGGTGAATGGTGATTTAATTGTACAATAACAGTACCAACACTGACATTTGTTAAAAATTCTGCATTTATGAGGGTTTCACCTGATTATTATTATTTTATTAACTTAAGACAATGCTTATATGGCATGGAGTACAAATAATATACACAACCCCATAATGACAAAACAACAGCTGTAAATCGTATTAAATAGATAAACGTGAATCCTTGCTTTAAATATGTTTTTCTTCCTTTTGTATCTGTCAGGGAGCTGGTGTAAACTCCCATGCGGAAGGTGAGGAGGTGGGAATGTGACACAGCTGATCGCAGACTCAACATGGGTAGGGGCCGGGGCCGAGGGAGAGGAAGGGGCAGGGGATCGTCTGGCCAGTGTCGGCCCCCCTCGCCCTACAGACTGCAGCTCTCTCCGTCCAGGGAGACTTTGACATACGCTCAGGCGCAGAAAATAGTGGAAGTGGACCTAGATGGAAGGCTCCATCGGATTAACATCACAGATTCTCTGCCGGTTATTACCGAGGACGAGATGATGGCCCAGGACATTGCCGAGTGCAACAGCAACAAGGAGAACAGTGAGCAAACGCAGAGTAAAACCAGATCGTGGAGGAAACCCTCAAACAGTAAAAGCAGGAGGAGTGGTAAAAATACGTCTCACCAGAACCAACGGTCTGGCTCTCAGCAGCACACAGGACCTACTAATTCCTTCCAGCACCAAAGCCCGCTGCCTGAACCCACCTTTCGTGTGCTGGGTTCATTTTGCCCCTCAGAGGCGCCTTCTCTCCCAGCAGCTTACTACCGTTACATAGAAAAGTCACTGGAGGAACAGGACAGTGTGGCTGAGTATGACATGGACGAGGAGGACCAGGCCTGGCTGGAGATGGTGAACCAAAAGAGGGTGTCTGATGGCCATGCCTCCGTGTCTCCGGACACTTTTGAACTGCTGATTGACCGCCTGGAGAGGGAATCCATCCTGGAGTCCCGCAGCCAGGCACTGTCCCAGAGTGCCGTCGACGAGGACGCTTTCTGCTGCGTCTGCCTGGATGACGAATGTCTCAACAGTAATGTCATCCTGTTCTGTGACATCTGCAATCTGGCTGTCCACCAGGAGTGTTACGGTGTGCCCTACGTACCTGAGGGTCAGTGGCTGTGCCGCTGCTGCCTGCAGTCCCCCTCCCGTCCTGTAGACTGTGTGCTCTGTCCCAACCGCGGAGGTGCCTTCAAGCAGACAAGTGATGGACGCTGGGCCCACGTTGTCTGTGCCATATGGATCCCGGAGGTGTGCTTTGCCAACACGGTGTTTTTGGAGCCTGTTGAGGGGGTCAAGAACATCCCTACCGCTCGCTGGAAGCTCACCTGCTACCTGTGTAAGCAGAAGGGCAGAGGAGCATCCATTCAGTGCCACAAAGCCAACTGTTACAGGGCTTTTCATGTCACCTGCGCCCAGAAGGCTGGCCTGTTCATGAAGATAGACCCAGTGCGGGAGACAGGCGTCAACGGTACCACCTTCTCTGTGAAGAAGACTGCTTTCTGTGAGCATCATTCTCCAGTGGGGTCTCGGCGGGACGGGTCTGGAGACGAGTCGGTTGAAGGGAGACTGGTGGGGGGCAGGGGTAACCGGGGGCAAAGGTCTTACACTCAAAGCCCCCCCTCACCACCAAACAAGAAGGCTACCAAGGGCCAGAAGAAGAAGAATACAAAGGGGTCTGGTGGGTCGACACGTCGCTCAACTATGCCTGTGCTGCTTGTGCCTCAGATACCCTCTCACAGGTGTGACATTTGAATAGTGTTGGAATTTACATACCCAGCATACTTTATTAATATACTGTAGTACTGTATTGTAGATTATTAATATTCCTACAGGGATCCATAGGAAGCAGCATCTCTGATCTAATAAGGTTTTGATCCAGTGCTTTGAGATTAAATTAACCATAAGGTCCAGAAGTTAGTGGTGTTATTATGAATACCAGTATTACACACACGTTTTAATGTACAACTGTTACATCTTTGCAGGCTGAACAAGATCTGCACAGGAGTTGAAGTCCAGAGGAAGAATCAGTTCATGCAGAGGCTTCATAACTACTGGTTACTGAAACGACAGTCACGAAATGGGATGCCTTTAATACGCCGACTTCATTCCCATCTACAGGCCCACAAGACTGCAGAGCAGGTGTGGAGTGAGAGATGATCAGTTTGTGTGTGTGTATTATTAAAAGAGAAATTAGAGAATAAAACAAATAGTCTAAAAAAAAAAAACTACTGCAAAAGCATCACAAAATTCTGTATATAGTTATGTAGTACTTTGGCTTTTTGGGGGATTTTGTGATCATGTGTCAGAGGAAAGTGTTTTGAATATGTAAAACAGACCAAACCACTTGACTGTTTCAGCACTTTTAGCATTTGTTGCATTTTAACATGTGATTGCAAGCCAAGCAACTTTTGGTTTTGCCATCCTTTGCGCACGTGACTGCTCATATTTTAGACCTGTCTAAAGTGGCTATCCAAGCTGATATTGATTTTGAGTTAGTTAATATATCTGTGTGGTGGAGCATCATACATTATTAAAAGCAGTGCAGTTACATTTACAGTCATTAGACTATCAGGCCTTTACAGAACCAATAAATTCTGTCTCTGGAAACAAACCACTTCACACCATGTTTGTATTCTCACACACTGAAATCAAAACATAAGCCCAGTCATCACACTTTGCAATGGCTGATTCACACAACCCTTCGCAGCTCTTGTCATCTTTCCTCTCACAACTGCAGAGGGCGACAGCGTGTAGAAAGTTATGGATTTCTTTTTATAATGGGAGGCAGGGGGAGGCCTGAAGCTGCTTTAAGGTGTTTAAAACATAAAATAAAAATTAATAACTACTTAACAGAACTTTTTAATACTTACTTGAATTTGGTTTCATAAAAAATCTATTCACCTTTGTAAAAATGTTTATTCTACTTTTAATTGTGAATACTGATCCATAATTTTCACTTTTTGGACCCTTTAATGTGTCCAGAAGCACACTTGGGTCTCAGTGCAGCTCAAAAAAAAAAAAAAAGGCTAAGTATGATGGATATTAAAGCTGAATCAGAAGTCTGATATCTTTTGTGCTTGTTCTTTTGTGTTCAGAAGGAGCCTGATGAGAAGCTGTGTGCTGCAAGAGAAGAGCTACGATACTGGCAAAAGTTGAGGCAAGACCTCGAAAGAGCAAGACTTTTGGTGGAACTGATCCGCAAGAGAGAGAGGCTAAAGAGAGAACAGGTGCGTTACAGCAGGAGCTGTATTTATTGTGTACTTTTTATAGACTATAGCAGCCTTGTCATTCATCTCTTCAACTTGTGACCTTGTGTTTCTTTTACTCTCCCCTGTGTGTTTACGTCATCATTTTTCAGATGAAAATTCAGCAGGCTGCTCTTGAATTGAAGTTGACCCCCGCTTTGGTGCTCCTGCGATCCACCTTGGACCAACTGCAAGAGAAGGACACAGCAAAAATCTTCTCTCAGCCGGTCAACCTATCAGAGGTTGGTGTAGCTATTTAAATACACACTTTTCACCCAGCAGCATATTTGCTTTGGCTTTACTGACTCAGCTAACAATCTTATTTCCATGATTCACTGAGGTCCCAGATTACCTGGAGTTTATTTCCCAACCCATGGACTTCTCCACCATGCGTACAAAACTGGAAGGACATGCCTACTGTTCCGTCGCGGACCTAGAGAAGGACTTTGACCTCGTCATCTCCAACTGTCTCAAGTACAACTCCAAGGACACCATGTTTCACAAGGCAGCCTTACAACTGCGAGAGGTGGGCGGAGCCATTCTCCGTCACGCCCACAGGCAGTCTCAGAGCATTGGCCTGGACCCCAGCACTGGGATGCATCTCCCAGACACTCTGAACAAACATGGCTTCTACAACTGTACGTGGGACGACGGTGAGTTGAGAGTGGGAACTAGCTATTTATTTGTGAACTTTATGCCTCATCTGATCATTTGCCTTTCCCCCTCCTTTTTGTTTCTCTTCTTTTACTCTCTACAGTCGACTCTCTCCTGGACCCAGACAACAGACTGCACCTAACCACAGAAGATCAGCTTAAGGCCTTACTGGACAAACTGGACGTGGTTACATCCATGCGTACCAGTGGCGGTCGAACCAAACGCATTAGGCTGCTGCGCCGAGAGATCAACACTCTCAGACAGAAGATGAACCAGCAGCAGCAAAATACTCAGTCTGTGAATGGTAACGACAAGGAGGACGAAGAAGTGGAGGAGGAGGAGGAGGAGGAGGAGAAGAAGGAAAAGAAAAAGAGGAAAACCAATGTTGTCAATAATGGACTTTTGACAGCAGTGTCCAACTCTGGGACAGGTAAAAACAAATACTTTTCCTCTGTGTTATGTACTTTTCTTGAATTACATTTGGCCATTACTAATATCATTTATTCAGCATGGTTAATAAATTATTTTTGAGTAGAGTTGCAGTTAACAGTTTATTATTGATTAATCAGCTGATTTGTCTTTACGATTAAACTGACGTCTTGAAATGTCTTGATTTGTCCGATCAACAGTCCAAAACCCAAAGATATTCAGTTTACAATAATATAATAAAAAATATATAAATAAAAAAAGCAAATTCTCAGATTATGGTTGGAGATTTGAATTAATAAATGATTTATGAGAGTAACCACCTAATTGTTTCAGCTGTATTTATGATCTTTACATATTTCCCTTTTATCTAGATGACTCTCCACCCGTGCTAGAACTTACCTGCCCAGTGTCATCGCCGCTGCCAGGTGACGCCCCCCTCGAACCACCTGTCCTGGGTATCGTAACTGGAGGGCGGAGGTCACCCGGACGCTCCTACAAGCGTCAGAGGTCATCTCGCAGTGGAAGCAAAAGCCAAGGTGAAGACGAGGCCGAAGTCGGCGAAACGCCATCCTCACAACCAGAAGCTGTTCATGAGGTTACTCCTCTGGGAACACCACCGACTCTGCCTTTGGTTGGAGTTGGTCGTCGCACGTCTGTTCTGTTTAAGAAAGCTAAAAATGGAGCGCGAATGGCAAAAAACAAATCCCCACCACAACAAAATGGGAAAACGTCCGAGGAGAAAACAAACGGGTTGGACAGCACCCCCGCCAGCCCAAATTCACCGAGTGTGACCAACATCACCACCTTACCTCCTACGCCCAACGCTTCCCCTGCACCTCCCTCTCCTTCCTCACACCACCTGAGATCCAGAGGCCACAGCTCAGAGAGTGAAGCAGACAAACTTCCTCCAACACCCAGAGAAGGAGGTAAGGACAAAATACCTTGCTTTATTACAGAGAGAGACATTCTTGAGATTCTAGAAAGTCACTACTTTATGTGGGTTTTTGCTAGGCCTGACAAACGGAAAGCACACCCCTGCAGACCATGATGATGACGACCAAAAACTAAAGTGAGTATGGACTTGCAGAGGCAAATGCTCTCATGTGAGAACCGATAATTTGTTCTTCAGTGGTGCAATTTAAGGGAATTTCTGGCAATAACCAATTTTGTTATACAAATGACATTCACAAGTGGTCCAGGCCTGTCATAAATGTACATATATTCTGCCTTTCTTTACAGAGGGCAAAACACAATCGCCAGAAAAAGGAAATAATGGCTTGAGCCGAATGAATTTGGTGTTGAATAATAAACCAAAATC